ATTCAAAAGGTAGTTCTTAAACTTGGATTTTGCGTAAAAATAAAAATTTTTGGGGTTTTCTTGCAATATCCCCGTTGGCCTTTTGTTCCCCCTTTTTTACTTCTTCTGTGGGTATGACATCCTAAGTTTTTTGCTCTTTAAATTTAAAATCCCCAAGCTAAGTCTATCTTTCCTACTGTTTTAGATTTTTTGTGTTTTTTTAAACAGTTCAGTAAAACCCGTTTTTTTCCTTTTGTACCATTTTAAGCTCTCTTTCTATATCTGATCCCTTTTGGGGTTTTCCCCAATGGGGACATGTTTCATACATAAATTTGTATGTTCTTAATTTTACTTCCCCTAGGCACTGGGGGGGGATTTAGGGTGCTTTATGTCGATTTCCAGGGTATTGTCTGATCTCTTGGTTTTTTTTTTTCCCAATTAATTCTATGGTTGAAAAAAAAAAAATTACTGAACATCCCCTCTCTAACTTTTGCCCAAAGCAGTTTTCCTACCCCGAGTTAATATAGTTTGAACCTCAAAAGATGTTATGATTTAGAGTAAATAGTTTTTTGGAAAAATTTTTATGGGCTTGATCAGTTTTCCCCTTTGTTTGTGGAAAATCAAAACCAGGGGGATTTTCATTTCTAGTGGGAAACAATTAAACCCGTTGGTTTAAAAAAGTTTCTTTTCCCCAAAAAAACCCCCCATTTTTTTCCCTGGGATGTACCGGTTTTAGCCAGGGGGTGCTTCCCCCGGGGGTATTTTTTTGGTTTAAAATTATGGTTTTTGCCATCTTCCATTTTCCCCCAGGGAGATTAAAAAACTCCAAGGAGTAAAAAAAATTGGTTTTAGGGAAATTTCTGCCCATATAGTAGCTACTACTTCTTTACTGATTGTGAATTTCAGCAGTTTTCCCATGGTGGGGTTTTTAAACTAGGATAATTACCAAATTCCAAATTTTTAACTTTTAAAGCCCCAAATTTTTTACTCTATTTATTCAAAGAATTCAGCATTCTGTACAAAAAAGTTAAAACCTTTACTTTGATTTTCCCACTTTAAAAATAGATTCCCACTAAGTGTCCCCAAAAAAATTATTGCTCATTCACCCCCTCTTAAACAACTGATTGCATTCGTTCAGTTACACTGAAAGTTCAAACCAACAATTTTGTTCTTTTTTGTTTAATTCGTTGCTGCAAAAATTTCACAAAACTACAACAGGCCCTAAATGCCCTATTTTGGATCTCTCTGAAAAACTGAAATTGTGACTGACTCCAAAATTATTCTGTAACTGGATGGACTTTGTTTTGTTTGGGTCCATCATGTTCAGAACTGTCTTTGCTGAACAGTGTTGACCATTTAGATGCTGTGTTTCAGTGCTTAAGCAATTGTAGACCACATTATACCTCCAAAATGCCATAGAACAGTATAATGCAACATTTTATATAAAAAGGAAGTAGGTTTCCCCTGATAGAAAGTAGAACGAGGATATGCTGTAATGTGTGCACAGGAGAGAGATAGTCACAAGAACACTGTAAGAAAATAAATCATAAAGCTGGCATGTCAACTGTTTATGATATAGTGGCCTAAAAAGATAAATTCTTTTAAGCTCTATTCAGACATACACACATTGTGTCATGAAGGCTCTAGAACATAGAAAAAGCCTATCCAACCTAAATTTTAACATTTTGGTAAGGTTATATATGAGCACTGTAAAGAGAAGAGAGAGGCTGAAAGCATGGTTAAGTGATAGTACTGTATGTGTGAGAATTTTTTTTTTAAACAAAACAAGGAAATTAAATACACATATACAGTAAGTGTGGGGGAGGTACGTGAGGCATTACGTAGAATGAAAGGGGGTAAAGCAGCTGGAACTGATGGGATCATGACAGAAATGTTAAAAGCAGGGGATGATATGGTGTTGGAGTGGTTGGTACTTTTGTTTAATAAATGTATGAAAGAGGGGAAGGTACCTAGGGATTGGCAGAGAGCATGTATAGTCCCTTTATATAAAGGGAAAGGGGACAAAAGAGATTGTAAAAATTATAGAGGAATAAGTTTACTGAGTATACCAGGAAAAGTATACGGTAGGGTTTATAATTGAAGAATTAGAGGTAAGACAGAATGTAGAATTGCGGATGAGCAAGGAGGCTTCAGAGTGGGTAGGGGATGTGTAGATCAAGTGTTTACATTGAAGCATATATGTGAACAGTATTTAGATAAAGGTAGGGAAGTTTTTATTGCATTTATGGATTTAGAAAAGGCATATGATAGAGTGGATAGAGGAGCAATGTGGCAGATGTTGCAAGTATATGGAATAGGTGGTAAGTTACTAAATGCTGTAAAAGAGCTTTTATGAGGATAGTGAGGCTCAGGTTAGGGTGTGTAAAAGAGAGGGAGAATACTTCCCGGTAAAAGTAGGTCTTAGACAGGGATGTGTAATGTCACCATGGTTGTTTAATATATTTATAGATGGGGTTGTAAAAGAAGTAAATGCTAGGGTGTTCGGGAGAGGGGTGGGATTAAATTATGGGGAATCAAATTCAAAATGGGGAAATTGACACAGTTACTTTTTGCTGATGATACTGTGCTTATGGGAGATTCTAAAGAAAAATTGCAGAGGTTAGTGGATGAGTTTGAGAATGTGTGTAAAGGTAGAAGGTTGAAAGTGAACATAGAAAAGAGTAAGGTGATGAGGGTATCAAATGATTTAGATAAAAAAAATTGGATATCAAATTGGGGAGGAGGAGTATGGAAGAAGTGAATGTTTTTCAGATACTTAGGAGTTGACGTGTCGGCGGATGGATTTATGAGGATGAGGTTAATCATAGAATTGATGAGGGAAAAAGGGAGTGGTGCGTTGAGGTATATGTGGAGTCAAAAAACGTTATCTATGGAGGCAAAGAGGGAATGTATGAAAGTATAGTATACCAACACTCTTATATGGATGTGAAGCTTGGGTGGTAATGCAGCAGCGAGGAGACGGTTGGAGGCAGTGGAGATGTCCTGTCTAAGGGCAATGTGTGGTGTAAATATTATGCAGAAAATTCGGAGTGTGGAAATTAGGAGAAGGTGTGGAGTTAATAAAAGCATTAGTCAGAGGGCAGAAGAGGGGTTGTTGAGGTGGTTTGGTCATTTAGAGAGAATGGATCAAAGTAGAATGACATGGAAAGCATATAAATCTATAGGGGAAGGAAAGAGGGGTAGGGGTCGTCCTCGAAAGGGTTGGAAAGAGGGGGTAAAGGAGGTTTTGTGGGTGAGGGGCTTGGACTTCCAGCAAGCGTGCATGAGCGTGTTAGATAGGAGTGAATGGAGACGAATGATACTTGGGACCTGACGATCTGTTGGAGTGTGAGCAGGGTAATATTTAGTGAAGGGATTCAGGGAAACCGTTATTTTCATATAGTCGGACTTGAGTCCTGGAAATGGGAAGTACAATGCCTGCACTTTAAAGGAGGGGTTTGGGATATTGGCAGTTTGGAGGGATATGTTGTGTATCTCTATACATATATGCTTCTAAACTGTTGTATTCTGAGCACCTCTGCAAAAGCAGTGATAATGTGTGAGTGTGGTGAAAGTGTTGAATGATGATGAAAGTATTTTCTTTTTGGGGATTTTCTTTCTTTTTTTTTTGGGTCACCCTCCCTCGGTGGGAGACGACCGACTTGTTGAAAAAAAAAAAAAAATACAGTAGGACCATCCACCATATCTGTGGGTCTGGTTTCCACAGTTTCAGTTATCTGTGGTTTACCATGGTCCAAAAATTACCCTTAATTTTGCTTAATAATGACACCAAAGTGCAAAAGTAGTGATAGTGACAGTTCTTCAAAGCCTAAGAGAAGCCACGAAGTGCTAATTCTCGGCATATTGTGATAATTTATCAATTAAACTTTATCGTAAATACGTATGTATGTAAGCAAACAATACTTAAATATAGGGTTCGCTACTATCCACGTTTTGGGTATCCGCGTTAGGTTTCTTGGAACGTATCCCAGCAGATATGGGGGACTACTGTATTGTCTCACTCAGTTCACTACATATTTCAAATTCAGCATGGAATTAGAAAATTGTTATTAGCAGTGAGAAAAATGGTCTGTTGACACATACTAAATAATGTACGGATGCTGTGCAGCAGAAAAGAATTCAAGCAATGGAGAAAAGCACAGGTATGAGGAGGATGGAGCTATGAAGCCCCAAGTTACCATACTTTGTTATGGAACTCCGAGCCTAACTTACAGCTACAAAAGCCAATATTTACACATTCTCACAAGCAGAAAAAAACCTTAAGGAATAAAATTCACTGACTAAGCTGGACTTTGGTCATGGTAGTTTTATTCTTTTCTGCCATGCCCAAAGCCTTATACACAGTACTAACAGAAATATTTTAGTGATTTAGTGAAAAATGATACACAAGATTTATAGTGACAACCACTCACAAGTAATCCCGTCAAATCTACCCAAAATTACATTAATGTTGCTGCATCAAAGTGTAATGAACAAAGGGTGAGAAAAACCACATGGAGACACAATGAAGAATAATTGTATGCATATTTTTAACCTCCAAATAAAGAGGACCACAGCTGGAGGTCAAATATAAAGACAACTATTTTTTCCTTTTTTTTGTCTTCATATGGGTTTTTCTCTTCTACCAGCAGTACACTGACTCCTGCACCACTGAAATTTCTATTAAAAACTATATACTATCTACAATGGGAGCAAGGGGTAGTAATCCCTCCTTATGAATTATTAAAGTTAAAAAAAAAAAAATTCCCTTTTTCTTTTAGGTCACTCTGCCTTGGTAAGACATGGCCCGGTTTTTTGAAAAAAAAAAAAATATTTACAACTGCCATGGCCCTTTAAATTATGGAACAAAGCATGATTTTGGTAAGTACAGACAAGCCTCATTTAATACTGAGTCAGTTCTCAAAAAGGGCAAATTTCAGAGGTAACTCTGAAAGAGGTTTTCCCCCTTTCCACTTGAACTATATCTCAAAAAAATCATAAGTAGTTCCATATACATAATTGTTGTGCATATTTTGAATAAAAATGTATACTGTATGTTATAAAACATTTAATTAATACTCACCCAAAATGCGTTGATATCTTGCATTTCATGTCATAGCGTTGAAAGGTGAAGATTTGGAGTTAGTTGGTGGGTGTGAGAGTGACAAATTCATCCGCCTTTTCGTCTGCTGATGAAGTTGAAGGAGGACTCCTGTTTGGAGTTGCATGACTTGTAGAGGGGTGTTGAGATGAATCAACCTCTTCATCTGAGGTATCTGAAGGATGACGACTCCTGTTTGGAGTTGCACGACTTGTAGAGAGGAGGCTGGCAGTGGAATACTTATCTACTGATGTTTCTAATGCTCAGGCTTCCTTTTTTCTGTAAATTCTCATGTAACACTGAATTGATTGCTGAAACTCCTCAGTGACTCTACAGCTATGTGATCAATTTAGATCAAATTCTGTAAAGGATGCCATGGCCAACTCTATGATCTTGATAACCTCTTGACAGCCTCAGCATAATAAATTTGATGAGAGGAAGTCTAATTTCAGAATTAGCCACATTTAGTGATTATGCTCCCTCATACTGAAACTGCATCATCTTCCAATTAAAATGGTCTTCTCCACCTCCATGCAACATCTCCAAAGTAGCCTCATTAATTTCTTCTAGCCCAATTTGTCTCGAGATCAACAATCTTTCTCATCATTTCTGAAACTACATCAAAGCCACTGAAGTCATGTACACATTCAGGCCAGAGATTTCTCCATGCAGTATTCAACGTGATCTCTTTCCATGATGATGTAACCTTACCAGGAATCTTTTAATGTTGACTTAGCCGGATTTTGTTCATAAATGAGTCTATAGCATTTCGATCCAGTAGTCGAACTAAGGATAAAATGTTCTGTACAGAAACTCAGCTTTAACTAGTTTTAAAATATCACCCAAACAAACACCATAGTCCGAAAAATCTTGCTTTGGTGATGCTACTTTACAGTTTGTTCCACTCATCTACAACTCTACTGCCAAACCAATGCTTTCCTAAAATCCCTGTTTTATGGTAATGTGAACTATATTATTCATCCTTCCCTCATTTGCAACAGCCAGGCAAAATATATATAGTAAACCATTCTTCCAACATAGTTATTCAAGCTGTCTTCTTTGTGCACAATATTACAGACAAGCTATTTTTGGTGTTTATGCATGGAATACTAACTAGGACTTAAACTTAAAATCTTCAGCTGCATTGCCCATTTAAGAAGCTTTAGGAGATCCTTTTAACCTGGAAACACTTTCAAAGCAGTGGATAAAATTGCTCTTTCTGGTATTTTCCAAAAAACTCAATTTATCAAATTAAAGACCTGTTCAGATGTGTGCTTTCCTTCCTTAATCTTATTAATATGGCTTCACTGCAAGCAATTGCAGCCTTACCATATATTGTAACAGTATTCATTTGGATATGCTGCTTAAATCTGTAAAACCACCTTGAACTAGCACTGTTGAACTCCCACCATGTTTTTATTTTTTTTTAAATTACTCTGCAAACAATTTGCCATCTCCATAATTCTCTACCTATTCCCTAGGATGTACTTCAGGTTATGTACCTTGATCCAAACACTTAACAGTTCCTCCATACTATCCAGTAAATTATGTAACATTAATATAGAAGTAGTTCTTGGTATAGCAGATTTAGCACAGGCTAGAATTTTATCCCTTTTGGACATGAACTGTGGCTACAATTGTTGAAGCAAAACCAGGGGCTTAAGTGGTTTTAAAGCCTTTTTCTCTACCTTCAAAGGGGCATATAAAATAAATTTGTTCTCTAAAGAACCGGCAATGGTTTTTTGTACTTTTGCACTACTACTTCTTTAACACTCAATAAATATTTGGAACTCATCCTAAATGCTGCTATATGTAAGCTAACTTTGAAATGGCAGGTCACATTGGTGCACACACAATGCCACCAAATAGGCAAATTGTTATAACCCAAGGCTCACTATGTAGTGAGCCATAACCTTCCCTTTGCTTAATTTCTACCATCAGAGCCCACTGCTGCAATATCCCACTTTCCACTCCTAATCTCTTCCCAGCTGCAAAACTCCCCCACCCCGTGTGCTATTGACAAGTATTTTAGACAAGACAAGGGAAATTATTAAAAAAACTTGATTCTACAAATTTTGTTAGGGAACCATGTAAATTACCTTCCCCTTTGGAAAGAAAAAAAAAGGAAGAAAAAAAATCTAACTTCATTTGTAGCTACAGAAGTGAAGTAAGCCTGTAGGTCCTAGCTACGCTTTTAAATCCTTTATACAACCTTTTTTTTTTTTAAATTTCCAGTGGTTTAGCACTTACATTTCCTCTTGTAATCCAGTCTTTATTCTACCTCTCTTTTGAAAGCTGTCAAATATTCTTTTGGTACATCTTTTTTCCTTAAAAAAAAAAAGGCACAATCCCATGAAGAGCTGTTTAAATTTTTTGGTACATCTTCTTCCTTAAAGAATAAAAAGGCATAATCCGACGGGAACAATACACAAATAACCCACACAAAAAGGGAAAACATGTGAAAATTTTTGACCATTAACTAGTCACAAAAATAAAACATTATTTATTTTGGGGCACTAGGGGTAAGAACGTTTTTACGTATACGTTTGGCCCGTTTAGGGGTTAAGAACAAAAATTTTTAAAAAAGTAAGTGTTCAAGAATGAAAACATTCAGTTTTACAGAGGATTTTGATGGGTTGAGACGAGTCAAAAAAAGAAAAACCCTTTTAAAAATTGGCAGGACCATTTTTTGCACATAACAGAAATTAATTTTCAGAATATTTCCTGAAATCAATAAAGGTGGCTACACTTAAAAATTTTTATACTGTGAATTTTATTTAGAAGAAAATCCCAAAAAAAAAATTTTTATATCTCGAAAAGAACATTTTCAAGTTTTTAAAGACTTCTGGGAGTGTCTTGTGCTCCGGACATTTTAATTTGAGTTAGTTAACATTCTGAAACACAATTTTGTAGTGTTCTGGTGCTAAAACAAAAACCCGGGGAACCAGAAAAACTAAGATTGGTTTACTAAGTATTTCCTAAACGTTGCAACATTGTGCAAAACACACGCCTACGAATAATTTTATGGTCAATTTTTTACTTTTTATTTTAAAATTTTTTTTGGGTAAGTTAAACCTCAAAAATGTTTTTGTTGATTCCACCATGGGTGAAAATTTTCTACCCATTAGCTTATTTTAAAAGAACTAGACAATTTTTTGTCTCAGTTATCACCAATAGACCCCGAGCAAAAATTAAAGAAATCTGGCAAAATTAACCATCACAGAAGTAATTTGCAAAAGCAGTAATAGGGAAAAAAATAACATTTGTACATGCGATGAAAGGGGAAAGCATATAGTTTTTAATGGCTTCAACAATTTTGATCAATAAACCAAAAGCTTCCAGAAAATTCTGTTAGCAATTTTAAAGAGCAGGTATTGCTTAGGGAGCCTGTGATCGGGGCAGTACCTTCATTTTTTCGTTCATATGAAAGGGAGTACTCAGTGAAAGGCCTTTATTGTATGCCTGCAAAAAAATTCCCTGTGGCGATTGAAAGCCCCTGAGCGGCAGTACAAACAAGAAGGGTGCCTGCAATAAAAAGGGGTTGAAGAACACTGCCATTTAAAATATCAAAAAGGTTATTTGGGGCTGTACAGAAATATAATAACAATCTTTACAAAATGAGGGAACCCATTTAGCGTTGGAGTTTTGGGGGATTTAAAAAGCAATCTTCTCTACTCCTGAAGTGAAAAAGGACAAAAAAAAAAAAGGGGGGGGACTTTACAAACATCATAGGTATTTTTCTTAAATTTGGATCACCACCAAAAAGGAGCTCCGCCTTTTACTTCTTTCCCAAAAAGAGTGGGATTCCCCACTCCCACCAACCTACTAAACCAAACCCACACCCTTTTAACCAAAAACAATTTGCATTCTGTGAAAAATTTTGGCAATGTAAAACCTTATTTAAATCGTTACGCATTTGTAATTGATGTGGGGCCCTAATTTTTCTGCTCAAACTAGTACACCATATGTTTTCCCCCCCCTTTAATTTGGGTTTCAGAATATACCACCCAAAATTCAGCGAGGTTTGCCTGTTTCATCAAAAAAATTTTAAAAAATTAATAACATTTTTCATCTCTAAATGAACCCAAAGGGAAAAATCACACGTACTCTCACAAACTTTAGTTACTGAGGAGGTTAGTAACAAAAAAAAAAAAAAAAAAAAAAAAGGCACTCCAGAGATTGGGAAAAGAGAGGTGGACATTACAGGTACTGATAAGAGGGAGGGAGGGAGAGAGAGGGCCTGGGAAAGAGGATGATTCAGGGGTTAAAAGTCAATAAATATGCAACCACTTACTGGATAACTAACTGTCGAACTAGTGCATCTGAAGAAATTGCTTCTGTGTAAAATTATACAAAAATATCCTCACACAGGCAGAAATTTCTACACAGAAGAATGACATGTCTATTAAGATTCATTCTAAGACAATTACTTTAAAGGTTTACAAGAATAACTACGGCAACTATGGACAATTCCTGCTTATATTTGTGAATTATAAGCTCAAGCTAACCTGGCAAAGCTCTTGTATGCTGCAGACATTGGGTTGATACACAGAGGAACACGGTCGCGTGCTAAGTGACTCATGATGAACTTGTGCAGACGATCTTTCACCTGTGACATTGATCGTAACTGCCAAAACAAAAATAAGGAATAATGATTATTTTTTAATTATTATGGATAGTCAGTGATAATTTACGAACAATAAAAATCATATACAGTTTATCTATCCACTAGAGTATATGTAACATTTATCCATCAAGGATTACAATTTTATCTTTCTTTCTGTCTCAATTATTATGGGATCTTTTACTTATGTGCTCCTTTTCCAGGACTGCTAAGTAAAAAAGTAATCAAGGAAGATGCTGTACGAACTTAAGAACTGCAATACTAAGTGTGGAATATTTGTGAATTAAGCTGATAAAATTTAATACATTATAAAAAGTGTACATATTTTATATCTCTTTCTGCTATGGAGTTCTGAAAGGCCCGGTAAGAATTACTGTACATATGCACCTGGAAAAGTGAAAAGTATACAGGATAGAGAGAAATTTTGGGAGATGTTAAGTGAGTGCATGGGGAGTTTTGAACCAAGTGAGGGTACTCGTGGTGGAGACCTAACCGCTAAAGTGGGTAAAAACTATTGTAGAGGGAGTAGTAGGTAAGTTTGGGGTGCCAGGGGGAAACTGAAAATGGGGAGCCTTTAATTGAATTATGTATAGAAAGAGGTTTGATAATAAGTAACAAAAATTTTAAGAAAAAGAGGATAAATAAGTATACAAGATACAATATAGCACATAATGAAAGTAGCTTGTTAGATTATGTAATGGTGGATAAAAGGTTGATGGGTAGACTTCAGGATGTGCATGTTTATAAAGGGGCAACAGATACTATATCGGATCATTATTTACTTGTAGCTACAGTTAGGGTAAGAGGTAGATGGAGTAAAAAGAAAACGGCAACAGCAAATAAGAGAGAGGTGAAAGTTTTAAAATTAACAGAGGAGGAAGTTAGTATAAGATATAAGCAACTATTCCTAGGTAGTAGGCTGGTAGACAGCAACCGCCCAGGGAGGTACTACCGTCCTGCCAAGTGAGTGAAAGACGAAAGCCTGTAATTGTTTTACATGATGGTAGGATTGCTGGTGTCCTTTTTTCTGTTTCATAAACATGCAAGATTTCAGGTACGTCTTGTTACTTCTACTTACACTTAGGTCACACTGCACATACATGTACAAGCATATATATACATACCCCTCTGGGTTTTCTTCTATTTTCTTTCCAGTTCTTTTTCTTGTCTTTTTTTTTTCTTCAACAAGTCGGCCGTCTCCTACCGAGGCAGGGTGACTCAAAAAGAAAGAAAATCTCCAAAAAGAAAATACTTTCATCATCATTCAACACTTCACTCACTTGCACATAATCACTGTTTTGCAGAGGTCTCAGAACACAACAGTTTAGAAGCATATACATATAAAGATACACAACATATCCCCCCCAACTGCTAATATCCGAACCCTCCTTTAGAGTGCAGGCATGTAACTTCCCATTTCCAGGACTCAAGTCTGGCTATATAAAAATACTAACTAACGGTTTCCTGAATCCCTTTCATAAATATTACCCCGCTCACATTCCAAAGATCGTCAGGTCCCAAATTCCATTCGTCTCCATTCCACTCCTATCGAACATGCCCCCCATGCACCCTGCTGGAAGTCCAAGCCCCTCGCCCACAAAACCTCCCTTACCCCTTCCTTCCAACCTTTTCAAGGACGACCCCTGCCCCGCCTTCCTTCTCCTACAGATTTAAATGCTCTCCATGTCATTCTACTTTGATCCATTCTCTCTAAATGACCAAACCACCTCAACAACCTCTCTTCAGCCCTCGACTAATACTTTATAACTCCACATCTTCTCCTAATTTCCACACTCCGAATTTTCTGCATAATATTTACACCACACATTGCCCTTAGACAGGACATCTCCACTGCCTCCAACCGCCTCCTCGCTGCTGCATTCACAACCCAAGCTTCACACCCATATGAGAGTGTTGGTACTACTATACTTTCATACATTCCCTTCTTTGCCTCCATAGATAACGTTTTTTGACTCCACATATACCTCAACGCACCACTCACCTTTTTTCCCTCATCAATTCTATGATTAACCTCATCCTTCATAAACCCACCCGCCGACACATCAACTCCCAAATATCTGAAAACATTCACTTCTTCCATACTCCTCCTCCCCAATTTGATATCCAATTTTTCTTTATCTAAATCATTTGATACCCTCATCACCTTACTCTTTTCTATGTTCACTTTCGACTTTCTACCTTTACACACACACTCCCAAACTCATCCACTAACCTTTGCAATTTTTCTTTAGAATCTCCCATAAGCACAGTATCATCAGCAAAAAGTAACTGTGTCAATTCCCATTTTGTATTTGATTCCCCATAATTTATCCCACCCCTCTCCCAAACACCCTAGCATTTACTTCTTTTATAACCCCATCTATAAATATATTACACAACCATGGTGACATTACACATCCCTGTCTAAGACCTACTTTTACCGGGAAGTAGTCTCCCTCTCTTCTACACACCCTAACCTGAGCCTCACTATCCTCATAAAAACTCTTTACAGCATTTAGTAACTTACCACCTATTCCATATACTTGCAACATCTGCCACATTGCTCCCCTATCCACTCTATCATATTTTTTTTTTTTTTTCAACAAGTCGGTCGTCTCCCACCGAGGCAGGGTGACCCAAAAAGAAAGAAAATCCCCAAAAGAAATACTTTCATCATCATTCAACACTTTCACCACACTCACACATTATCACTGCTTTGCAGAGGTGCTCAGAATACAACAGTTTAGAAGCATATACGTATAAAGATACACAACATATCCTCCAAATGCCAATATCCCAAACCACTCCTTTAAAGTGCAGGCATTGTACTTCCCATTTCCAGGACTCAAGTCCGACTATATGAAAATAACCGGTTTCCCTGAATCCCTTCACTAAATATTACCCTGCTCACACTCCAATCAGATCGTCAGGTCCCAAGTATCATTTGTCTCCATTCACTCCTATCTAACACGCTCATGCACGCTTGCTGGAAAGTCCAAGCCCTCGCCCACAAAACCTCCTTTACCCCCTCTTTCCAACCCTTTCGAGGACGACCCCTACCCCTCTTTCCTTCCCCTATAGATTTATATGCTTTCCATGTCATTCTACTTTGATCCATTCTCTCTAAATGACCAAACCACCTCAACAACCCCTCTTCTGCCCTTGACTAATGCTTTTATTAACTCCACACCTTCTCCTAATTTCCACACTCCGAATTTTCTGCATAATATTTACACCACACATTGCCCTTAGACAGGACATCTCCATGCCTCCAACCGTCTCCTCGCTGCTGCATTTACCACCCAAGCTTTACATCCATATAAGAGTGTTGTACTACTATACTTTCATACATTCCCTTCTTTGCCTCCATAGATAACGTTTTTTGACTCCACATATACCTCAACGCACCACTCTACCTTTTTCCCTCATCAATTCTATGATTAACCTCATCCTTCATAAATCCATCCGCCGACACGTCAACTCCCAAGTATCTGAAAACATTCACTTCTTCCATACTCCTTCTCCCCAATTTGATATCCAATTTTTCATTATCTAAATCATTTGATACCCTCTATCATATGCCTTTTCTAAATCCATAAATGCAATAAAAACTTCCTACATTTATCTAATACTGTTCACATATATGCTTCAATGTAAACACTTGATCTACACATCCCCTACCCACTCTGAAACCTCCTTGCTCATCCGTAATCCTACATTCTTTTTTACCTCTAATTCTTTCAATAATAACCCACCGTACACTTTTCCTGGTATATCGGTAAACTTATTCTTGTCTATTTCCTCCTATCTCATGGAAAGTGGATCAGAATTATTTTTTTTTATTATCCACTCTCGATTCCGACCAAGGCAGGGTGGACCAAAAAAGAAAACTTTCACCATCATTCACTCCATCACTGTCTTGCCAGAAGGGGCTTTACACTACATTTTTTTAAACTGCAACATTAACACCCTCCTTCAGAGTGCATGCACTGTACTTCCCATCTCCAGGACTCAAGTCCGGCCTCCCGGTTTTTCCTGAACCCCTTCATAAATGTTTCTTTGCTCACACTCCAACAGCACGTCAAGTATTAAAAACCATTTGTCTCCATTCATTTCCTGCAAACACGCTCACGCATGCCTGCGGGAAAGTCCAAGCCCCTCGCACACAAAACCTCCTTTACTCCCTCCCTCCAACCTTTCCTAGGCCGACCCCTACCCCGCCTTCCTTCCACTACAGATGATACACTCTTGAAGTCCCCTCTGTTTCGCTCCATTCTCTCTACATGTCCGAACCACCTCAACAACCCTTCCTCAGCCCTCTGGATAACAGTTTTGGTAATCCCACACCTCCTCCTAACTTCCAAACCGAATTCTCTGCATTATATTCACAACCCCACATTGCCCTCAGACATGGGCATCTCCCCTGCCTCCAGCCTTCTCCTCGCTGCTAAAATTCATCACCCATGCTTCACACCCCTATAAGAGCGTTGGTAAAACTATACTCTCATTCATTCCCCTCTTTGCCTCCAAGGACAAAGTTCTTTGTCTCCACAGACTCCTAAGGCACCACTCACCCTTTTCCCCTCATCAATTCTATGATTTACCTCATCTTCATAGACCCAAACTACTGACCCCGTCCACTCCCAAATATCTGAATACATTCGCCCCCCCATACTCCCCTCCTTCAATCTGATATCCAATCTTTTTATCACTTAATCTTTTGTAATCCTAAAAACCTTACTCTTTCCTGTATTCCTTTTAAATTTTTTTCTTTTGCACACCCTACCAAATTCATCACCAATTTTCTGCAACTTCTCTTCAGAATCCCCCAAGAGCACAGTGTCATCAGCAAAGAGCAACTGTGACAACTCCCACTTTATGTGTGATTCTTTATCTTTTAACTCCACGCCTCTTGCCAAGACCCTTGCATTTACTTCTCTTACAACCCCATCTATAAATATATTAAACAACCACGGTGATATCAGAATTCTTCCTCCGTAAAC